AGAGAGAGTATACAGGGAGTGAGAGAGAGAGTATACAGGGATTGAGAGAGAGAGTATACATGGAGAGAGGGGGTATACAGGGAGGGAGAGAGGATATACAGGGTGGGAGAGAGAGTGGGTATACAGGGAGTGAGAGAGAGAGTATACAGGGAGTGAGAGTATACAGGAAGTGAGAGAGAGAGAGTATACAGGGAGAGAGGGGGGATACAGGGAGGGAGAGAGGATATACAGGGGGGGAGAGAGAGAGGGGATACAGGGAGAGAGAGGATATACAGGGGGGGAGAGAGAGAGGGGATACAGGGAGAGAGAGGATATACAGGGGGGGAGAGGGTATAGAGGGAGAGAGAAATACACAGAGAGGATATAATGTAAAAGAAGATGGACAGAGGGAGACTTTCGGGGGAAAAAACGTGTGATCTGCTTGCAGCCTCCTTCTCACTGTATAGCAGCTCCGCCCACTATTTCCTGCTTCCTGGTCACATGTTTCCTGTGACATCACAGGGCAAATGCTGCTACCGAGATCAATGGGAGTTCGTATACTGAACTCCCTTTGATCTCCTGTCACTGAGCAGTGCCGGTCCCGGCCGCATCGGGCACAGCGGATCTCGGGACCGAACACGGCAGTGACAGATGCTGATACAAGTGATCGAGCGTCTATAGAGACGCTCGATCGCTTGACTGTGTTAAGCTCCCGGCCGGCCGTGTAATTACAACGGCTGGCCGGGAAGCAGCTCGTCGGGCTCCACTGTCTGCTCGTCACAGACGAGTGGATTTTTCGAGCCCTGGATATATCTATCTATCTATATACTGTATATACACCTGGGGGTGCCAAAAACATGAATACACATTTTAAGAGATGTTATCTATGTAATGCTTTTTGAAGTTGAATTGAATTACGGTAGCAATGTATACTATGCTAGCGCCACCATGCGACAGGCAGGACAGTCAAAGAAAGTTGCCGAAGCACGGTTGTCATTCGAGGAGCGGAAAACCTTTTTGAAGTTCTATTTGAAATTCGAGAACGATGTGGAAGTACAACGACAATGGAGGCGTGAGTATGCAACAGAGCCTACAACACGCCCAACTGTTTAAATTGAACGGAACAGTGAACTGACATAAATGTGTGTACGGGGGCTCCAGAAAATCCACACGTTCAGGTGGAAAATGAAGCCAATTTAATGTGGACTGTCATTAAGGGGACCAATTGGACCATTCCTTTTTAAAGGTACAGTTACTGGTCATCTGTGCCTAGACATGCAACTTTTTACCTGCAATTCATCCACTTTTTGGAAATGATCGGTTTTACTTCCAACAAGATGGCACCCCACCGCACTTCCACCAAGACGTGAGAGCTTACCTCGATGAGAATTTGCCAGGACATTGGATAAGACGGAGAGGTGTGGTTGAGTTTCCCCCACGTTCTCCTGACTTAACACCCCTTGCCTTCTACCTATGGGGGACCTTAAAGGATGTGGTGTACGGTACATCAGGAAGAATTTGAAGAGTATGGTACGTCAGGAAGAATTTGAAGAGTAGTTTGCCGTAATTAGAAGTGTCTGGACTTGTATTCATCTTTTGTTATTGGTATATATTGAGTATTACAATTTTAATACAGTTTTTTCCGTTCTTAAAATGTGTATACATTTGGCAGCTGGACAGGAAGTGAGAGGACATCTCCCTAAGGAGAATCAGACAGCAATAAAAACCAGGCAGATGTTTTAACCCTTTCACATTCTATTCAAAATTTTAATTTGAAACTTGAAGTTGTTATGCTGTGAAAACACCAGGCTGGTTCTTGAAAGTGAGATAATAATGGTTCACATCTATGCATTCTGGTGCAGTAAAACAGAGGGTGATTGTGGTGTGCTGGGCATCGGCCATGAGGTGCCTTTAAAAATTTGTGGCTCTACCACACACCACACCATGGCTCGCAAATACGTTAACTGGCCTCAGAGAGAGACCTACTAACTGCAGCCTGCATTTTTACTGTCAGACAGCAAGTCTATATTGTCATTGTCTAAATTCTCAAAGGAATTGTGGCAGCAGTAACATTTCAATTACTGAATGATGCTATTGTTTAATTTGCACTCTTATAATAAGGAAACATTATCTGTGTGCTAGAAAATGGGTTTAATTATCCACAGACATGTTTTTGTAATGATGGCTAGTTCTCATGGGTTGCATAAGCCATGAGGAGTTAATTAAAACTGAAACGGATTTGCATTATTGTATAATATTATTCAAAATAAATATTATAGGCAGGACAATTTATTTAGCTTGATGACAAAATGATTAATTTTTCTGTAGTTAATTTTTCTCATTTGCTTTGTCTTCAGGCATGAGGTTTGGGTTTAGTCTAAAATGGGTTTGACGTGAACCCAACCCATTCGTGGTTCACTTAACCACTGAAGCATTGAAGTATATAACAACCAACTAACTACAATGCACGTCCTGACCTTTGAATTTAGGTCAGATGGCTAAGAAGGGCAAGTAAGGGGTGTTTGGATAACCCAGTCCCCTCACTATAAAAGTGTGGGTTTCCAGCAGCCATTTATCAGTGTTTGTTGAAGTGGATAGGAAGAGCTGACAGCCTGTGTGCAAGGAGAGTTAGTTAGAGCTATACAATGCTACACTAGAGTACAATGAGCTAAATCCTTGGTTCTCAACTGGTGGGTTATGACCCAAAAGTGGGTCACGACCCTGTATTCAGTGGGTCACCGCATGCCTTCCACTTTTCTAGGTGAGAAGCTCCTCAGCCTTCCCCTAGCACAGCACTATCAGTTCTCATGCCAAGCAGCCGTTCTGCTCCGTCACAGCAGAGCAATCCACACTGGACCCCAGGCCGAGGATCCACTCCAGTTCTCGTAAGATAGGGAGACTGGGCGGATCTTAAAAAATGGAAAACAAATACATTTTGGGGGGGCAAAATGTCTGTGAGTGTGTGAGATTGTGTCTGTGGTTGTGTGTGACTCTTAGTGTTCACACTAGTACAGTGCGTTTATCGCACAGTCCTGGGCGATTAACACTCTGTAACATGCAATAGCACCTAATGCGCATTCTGGTGTGGAAGGTGTGTTCCATTGCCATTCATTTGTTTAGCACCCTAAACGTACCTCTCACCCACAGTTCGATCTGGAACACGCGGTACCGCAATGCCGTGTGTTCTATTGTGCCGTGTGTTCTATTGCAGTGTGACTTGGATCACAACTAAGGACCAAGGACAAATGTGGGTCCTGAGGTTACACTGGTTGAGAACCACTGAGCTAAATGATTGTGGGTTGTGTGTGGTGGGCTACATATTCTTGTAATTCCCCCTTCCCATTTTCACAGATTGGAGACCCCGTAGTTCTTTTTTGGACTACATTTTGTGCTGTTTAGCTGCTGGCTTGCAGTCTCTGTTTTTGTATTTCTTTTCTGCAGAACAAATTAGTTTTTTTGCGCAGCTAAATTTTCTATCTGAGCAAGCTACACAGCCACAGCACATGGAGGAGGTACTTGAGTGGCTGACAAAGCCTTCCTCTTCTTCCTCTCCAAGGTGCAGAGCAGCCAGTTTTCCGCAACTGCTGCTAATGCACTCTCTTTTTCCTCCTCCTCCTCTTCTTTCTCCTCTCCTGCTGATCCTGCCATAGCCCTGCAAAATGGTGATATGGAGTGGGTGGCATTATTTTATCACATGATATCAGTCATTTGTTGCAAGAGGGTGATCTTGGTCATGTACAAGCATTCCTCATTTCTGAGGAAGATTTTGCCAGAATCATACAGAGAGGGCACATCAGGTAGGGGGCAGCAAAAGTTGTGATGTTTCAGCAGCTGGAACTTGCTGCCAAGTGGGCTACGCCAATAAAGAAGGGTTGGAAAATGTGGTGGCAGACTATATGCAGGTTCCACCAATTAGAGAGGCAGCTGGGAAGGATGCCGGACAGGGCACCCCTCTGAAGTTGGTGGTACCATCTTGTGTCTTGTACATTGATGACAGAGAAGTTACCTGTACCCCATCTTCCTCAGTGGCTTCATTCTCTACTCCTTGGAAATACCAGTGCCCCCCAAGAACACCAGAGCATATGCAACATCCCAGGCCAAATGCTGCCATGTTGTTTTGCTGCCGGTATGTCTGAGGGACAGGAGCCACACTGGGTCAGAGCTTGGAACTGAATGTTGGCAATGCTGCAGTGGCTGAATCAACAGAAGCATGTCATCTATGATTACCTGTGTGGTTTTGCTATGAGCCTGAGGACAGCTCTATGGAGTCAGTTGCTCATCATACAGAATGTGTATGCCTTTGAAAAGGCAACCAGAATGGTGAGCAGGAATGAGGTAGGGATTAGTGTTAGAATCCCTCTCCCTGAGCAGACACTAAAGGCACAGCAGCAGGAGAAAGATGAGGACTTGCTGCTGTCCAAGGGCAAGTAGGATCCTTTGCCTATTACCTCCATCTTTGTGAGGCAAAGACAGCAGGAGGCAGTGGAGAAATATATGGAGGATAGTATGATTGCTGGCAGTGAGATGTATGAGGAAAGGAAGCAGAATCGCAAGAGGGGCATTTCACCCCCCCCCCCCCCAACCCGGGGGGTTTTATA